CATGCCAGGCCTCCCTGTTCATCACCAACTCCCGGAGTCCACCCAAACCCATGTCCATCGAGTCGGTGATGCCATCCAACCATCTCATCCTCTGTCATCCCCTTCTCCTCCTGGCCTTAATCTTTCCCAGCATCAGGGTCTTTTCAAATGAGTCAGCTCTTCGCATCAGATGGCCAAAGTATTGGAGTTTCAGCTTCAACATCAGTCCTTCCAATGAACACCCAGGACTGATCTCCTTTAGGATGGACTGGTTGGATTTCCTTGCAGTCCAAGGGACTCTCAAGAGTTTTCTGCAACACCACAGTTCAAAAGCATCAGTTCTTCTGTGGTCAGCTTTCTTTATAGTCCAACTCTCATATCCATACATGACCACTGGAAAAACCACAGCCTTGACTAGATGGACCTTTGTTGACAAAGGAATGTCTCTGCCTTTTAATATGCTGTCTAGGTTGGTCATAACTTTCCTTCTAAGGAGTAAGCATCTTTTAATTTCATGGCTGCAGTCACCATCTGCAGTGATTTTGGAACCCAGAAAAATAAAGTCAGCCACTGTTTCCCCATCTATTTGCCATGAAGTGATAGGAATCAGCAAACTAAAATGGACTGGAATGGGTGAATTTAACTCAGATGACCATTATATCTACTACTGTGGGCAAGCATCCCTTAGAAGAAATGGAGTAGCCATCATAGTCAACAAGAGAGTCCGAAATGCAGTACTTGGATGCAGTGTCAAAAATGACAGAATGATCTCTGTTCATTTCCAAGGCAAACCATTCAATACCACGGTAATCCAAGTCTATGCCCTGACCAGTAACGCTAAAGAAGGTGAAGTTGAACAGTTCTATGAACACCTACAAGACCTTCTAGAACTAACACCCAAAAAAGATGTCCTTTTCACTATAGGGGACTGGAGTGCAAAAGTAGGAAGTAAAGAAATACCTGGAGTAACAGGCAAATTTGGCCTTGGAGTACAGAATGAAGCAGGGCAAAGGCTAATAGAGTTTTGCCAAGAGAACACACTGGTCATAGCAAACACCCTCTTCCAACAACACGAGAAGACTCTACACTTGGACATCACCAGATGGTCGACACCGAAATCAGATTGATTATATTCTTTGCAGCCCAAAACCTGATATAAGGCTTGATATATTGGTTGAGCTGCCCTAATAGAAACTAAATAACAGTAGCTTCTACCAGATATCCTTTGTCTATTCTTTTCCACATAATAGTCTACAGGTCTTGGGCTGGTCAGGCAGCTCTGCTGTCCAACATTTTTTCTGGTTCATATTACTTTTCTGTTTGGCCACCTTCACCATTGAACTTCCCTCTCATGGTCTAAGATGGCTGTCCCAGTTGCCACCACTTTTCAGACAATAGGAATAGGAGAAGCAAGGCATATCCCAGAAACCAGAAGTGGCACACACCACAGCTGCTTAGACCTCATGACCTAACTTTAGTCACATAGCGGCAGTTAAGCTGCAAGGAACCCTGGGAAAGATCATCTCCAGCTGGGCAGACATGATTTTGGACATGCTTTTATTAAAGGATGGAGAAGGAAGTGCACAACCCACACCAGTATTCTTGCCTAGAGAATCCCATGAATAGAGGAGTCTGGCAGGCTACTGTCCGTGGGTGTGCAAAGAATCAGACACGGCTGAGCAATTAACACACTTTATTAAAGGAAGGAAAAAAGAATGAATATTAGTGAACAACTGACAGCCTCTTGCTTCTTGGTATACTATCTAGCCTTCTTAGGAAGCTTTTCCTCCTGCCTCTGCCCCGGTCCATGAGCGCCCATAGTACCCGGCACTGCTGGTACACAACACGTCACTAGTACTCAACACATGATGGAGTACTCATCATGGTACTGCATTGCGGTACACAACTCATCACTGGTACTCAGCACTGCTGGTACTCAACATGTGACAAGTACATGTGCCATGGTACTCCCCAGTGTGCTGTAAATGGCTGCTTACTCTTCTCTGTGTCTCATCAGGCAAAGCTTCATGAAAGCGGAGGCTGTGTTCATCTGGTTTGCCCTTATATCCCCTGGCCCTGGCACTTAGTGCTTAATAAATATTTATTGACTAAATAAATAGATGATTGTGTGATAGGAGAGTAATTATTAAGTTATGGCTGGTCTCTGCCATTCCCTCCCTACTGCCCTCTGGTCTTGCCTACCTTTGCCTGCCTCCTGCTCTTTCCTTCTTCTCCTTTTGAGGCCAGGCTCCCTCTGGCAAGACCAGTGCTTTGGATTTTTGTGATGCACGATTATGAGAAACAGAGGAGAGAGAAAGAAGCAGAAGGCTGCGGTTGAGGGGACAGTTTTTTAATAACTGTCCTGGCAAGAGCAAAGTGAATAGCAAAGAAAAGTAGATTTAAGGTGTATCACTGTGGGCATCGCGGCATTAAGAAATGCAAGAAGGACAGGACAGAATCTATTTGAAGAATTTTAAAATTTGTTAGACTGTTTCTATGACCCAGACACTGCCTGGTGACTAGACAAGCTGTGGCTCAGAAGGAAATGACTCAGAACACCAGGAAAATGTCAGGGAAGTGTAAATCCCAGAAAGGCTGCTTCACAACAAATTTCTGCCTGCTTTGGATCCTTAGGAAAAATAAACAACTCTGCCAAAGATCCAAGTATACGTCAGTGGTTTTCAAACATTTTTCAAGTAGTATCAAGCCTAGAAATAATGATGTTCTCCATATAGCCCCAGAAGATATTTGTATTTTTATTCTATTTTATAAATCAAAATCTTAGTAGGAGACAATGTTATCTAAATCATGTATATAAATATAATATCATATCCAGCCATACATGTCTGAAAAGATTAGTTGTTAAGTTAAACATTAAAAAACTATTTCTGAATTTCCCTGTTAATACTCGTTTGCAACTGGCTCATCCTTACTGGCTTCCCTGGTGGCTTAGAAGGTAAAGAATCTGCCTGCAATGCAGGAGACCCAGGTTTAATCCCTGGGTGGGGAAGATCCCCTGGACAAGGGCAAGGCAACCCACTCCACAGTATTCTTGCCTGGAGAATCCCATGGACAGAGGAGCCTTGTGGGCTACAGTCCATGGGGTCTCAAAGAATCAGACATGACTGAGGGACCAGCACTTTCACTTTAATACTTATTACAATTGTCTGTGCTTACTGGTTATATAAGCTATATGAAAAATTAAAGGGAAAGTTTATGGGAGCAAATCTGAACATGGAGAAAATTCTGTGCATTAATGTTTTCTGTAAATTAGGAGGACATCTCTAGACTATAAATTCCACAGGGGAAGTGGCAATGACTGTCTTACTTGCTGCTCTGTTTCAGCTCCTAGGACAGTGTCTGACACATTCTAGAAACGAAACAAATATGTGTGACCAGCTCTTTCATGTTAGCTATGGAACCTCTCACTCCAACTGGAGTCTAATTTGACAACTGCTGGCCAACAGCAACACTCCCTGTCAATGGCGTTCTCTTTTTGTTGGTAAATGTGTTCAAGGTTCCAGGGCCACCCTCACTCCTCCTGGTTCTGAAAAATTGAGTGACACACTCAGTATGTGTGAGATCCTAATCCCAAGAACTCCTGTGATTTTGGGCATGAAACGGGCAAGTTGGCCTGCTTCTGAGTAGGATTTGTGAAAGGATTCTTGATTGTTTTGTTTTTGTGTCTTTGTTCAAGGTCTTAAACCTTATGATAACAATAAAAAGTATAACAAATAACATTGGTATTTACATTTGCAAATCCAACATACTTAGACTTTTTGTTTTCTCACTGTAGTCATTTCCTTATTTTTATTTATTTTAAATTACATAATTAGTATATGAATGACACTTCACAATGATTAAAATCACAACAATAAAATATGACCTCAGACCCAGTCTTCTCCTGAGAGGCAGCAACTTTCCCTGATTTGTACCCTTTCAGATCTTTTCCTATACTTTTACATATAAATGTATATGTTCCTAGAGACATTTATAGTTTCATCTATTCATTATTTCTATAAATGGCATAATTTATTACTGGTGCTCTGTGACTTACTTTTTCTTTTGGAATATGTCTTAAAGCCCTTTCCATGTTCATCCATATAAATCTATCTTACATTTTTAACCATTCACAGTATTCCATAATACCTGGTAGCTCAGCTCCTGCAATGCAGGAGATCCCAGTTTGATTCTGGGTTGGGAAGATCCACTAGAGAAGGGATAGGCTACTGACTCCAGTATTCTTGGGTTTCCCTGGTGGCTCAGCTGGTAAAGAACCTGCCTACAATTTGGGAGACTTGGGTTCAATCCCTGGGTTGGGAAGATCCCCTGGAAAAAGGAACAGCTACCCACTCCAGTATTCTGACCTGGAGAATTCCATAGACTGTATAGTCCATGGGGTCACAAAGAGTCAGACACAACTGAGTGACTTTCACTTTGCTTTCATTCTCAATATGCTACAGTTTACTTACCTAGTCCCCTACTACTAGCTATGTACATGGTTTTTAATTTTTTGGTTTATGTACATCACTAGCAATCAGCATCTTATCCATGCTTCACTATACACTTATGAGAATCCTACTCTAGGAAAAACAGTGAGAAATCGAATTGCTGGGTCAAAGGGTATGAACACTTAAATTTTCACAGACACTGTCAAATAACTCTTCAAAGTGGTTGCACCAATTTATTCTCCCACAAGTACTGTATGAGAGAATCAGCTTCTGTAAACTCCTGTCATCACCATCAAACTTTAAAATGACTGCTGACCAGATGGGTGAAAATAATTTCCCACTGTTGTTTTATTTCACCCTATAGTGGTTTGAATGTGGAAGGTCAACGACATTGCTACTATCTAAGACAGGTTTTCTTCACTGTGCTATATTTCTTGCTCCCAATGAACAGAGACATAACCTCAGCAGATGGCCGCGGCACAGACTGCTAGCTGTCCACCAAATCTCCTCTTTGGGGCACACAGGGAAACTACATTTCCCAGACTGCTTTGCAGTTAGGTAGAGCTTTATTACTGGATTTTAACCATGAAAACATAAGTGGAGGGATATGTACCACTTCCCATGCTGACCTATGAAAACTTTCCACAGTTTGAAAAGCTTCTCTCTGAAGGTCTTTCCGGATGGCCCACCCATCCGAAGGTCCAGTAGGAAGCAAGCCGAAGAGTGTGCAGCGGCACATGCAAAGGTGCCAGGCCCGCCTTTCTGGATGTGGGAATGCCAACACTGCAGGACAAGCACGTGAAACTGGAGACTTCATTGCTTTCAGCCCATTATATTCCCAGAACCTGGTTTGGCATCAGACACATAGCAGGCACTTGATATCCAGAGAATGAGAGAAAAAAGGAAGCAATCAGCAACACTTATAGCATATTGGCCGCACAGCAATTTACAGTTTACAAAGCACTTTCCCTTATACTGTCTGATCCAATCCTCAGAACCCACTGTGATGCAATCAAGACTGATTCTCATTTTTTCAATAAAAATTGAATTTCAGAGAAGTCAGGAGACATGCTGAAGGTCACACAGCTAGTCAAGGGCAGATACAGGATTAGAAGCACATCTTCAGGCTCCAAGTGTCAATGCTCCTTCTACTACCCTGTGAGGTTCTTAGATGTGCCCATCATAGTGAGAGTAACCATTGGTGGTGATGGTGGTGGAGTATTCATTACAATCACAGCATATCCAATGTATAGAAAGATTCTAGTCCCTGACTGTAAGCAAAACCTGCTGATTAGCTCACATGGCTGTAGCTTCTGTCTCTTTACACTGAAAAGGTCAATCCCTGCTCCACAAGCACAGATCACAGACCCCACATCAAATAGTCATCCTAAATGTTCATACCAGGCATCTCTAGGGGTTTGAAGAACATGGAATGCAGAGTTGCTTTCATTATCTTGAAAACAATTCAAACTCCAAGCCCTACTTCACACAGGAAGTTACATCTGAGAGTTAATCAATCTTGATAAAGGAAGCATGAGTCTAGAAACTACAATTCCTATATTCTAGTATAAGTCATTTGGTCCATAAAACTCACAGGTTGCTGATTTGGTGTTGAGTGACAAAGATGAAATACCAGTCCAGCAAATTGTTGAGGGCTATGCTATAGAGGCTATCCATAGCCTGTCCACTACTCTTAGAATCACCTTCACCATAAACCTTGAGACATTCACCTACCTCAAGGTCAGTCCATGAGCAAGCATGAACAATAAGCATGTGTGCAGGGAGTCCAAGAGAGGAACAAATAGCCTAAGCCAGGGAACTTTCCTCTACTTCAAGGTCACCGTTAACTCCTTCCCACAGATGGCCAATGCTATGAATGCATCTCCAACTGCAGAAAACTGAGTCTTGACCATAAAGCAGTTTTTCAGCCTTCAAGATCTTTCCTTCTTTTGTTCAAGTTCCTTCTGTACTGACCTTTTCCATCTCAAAAGTGAAGGCTAGGCAATTTGCAAGAACCTAAACCTCCTGGTGGGTGCAGACCAATGATTGAGGCCCAGGAGAGGTTGGAGGGTGCTCAGCTGAGTTTCCCTGGGTTGAAGGTTATACGACCACATAATAAAAGACTTCCCCTTCCTCTTCCCTGGCATCCCAGCACATGATTAAAGCTTGAAGAAGCGGAGTTATGCTGATCAGGGAATCCAATTCTACCTTTCCTATTTTTGTGGCCCTAAAAATATCACTCCTCTGTCTTGCTCATGTACATGATCTGAGCTCATTTTCAACAAAATTGACTAATTCTGCAATATTTTAAATAGATCTTTCTGCCCTCTCTGGACACCATCTTTTCATACCATTCACATGGATTCTGCACAGTATTTGGTCTACCCAAACACCAGAGAGACCATCATGAAAGGTGAGAACAGGTTGGGAGGCAGAGTGGGATGTATGGAGTCCTAGACCTGAGACCCCTTGGATGCTCATCAACCAGTTGCATTTGGTATGTGGGTCCAGCCCTATGCTGGGTGCTATGGGGTGGACAGAAGTTAAATAATTTGTGATCTCTGGCAACAAAAACTTTGAGCTCTCATTGAGGTGGCCAGACACGAAGAGACATTCATAGGAACAGTACATTTGATCAACAGCAAATATCTACATGTGCTGCACTCTCAACACCAGGATCTGCCCTAGGTACTGGGATACAGAAAAAAAAAAATCCCTGATTTCATGGAGTTGAACTTCTAGTAGGAAATATATCGGGTTAGCCATGAATTTCACTCAGGTGTTTCTGGAACATCTTACAGAAAATCCCAAACAAACTTATCGGCCAACACAATAATTCAAGGTTTGGTTGTGGAGGTCAGAAAACAAAAGTCATCTGTAACTAAGAGAAGAGTTCTGGGTGAGCTGAGGTAGAAGCTTCTAAGGGGACTTCTCCCCACACAGGCCTTTCTAATCAGTTTATCCCAAACTGAATGTATCATCTTTCCTCTTATATAAGAGGCCCGCTCTGTGTGAATAGAGCCAGCATCACCATCCATCCAGCAAGAAACCTGGAGGTATACCAGATGGTCCTAACTCACTTTTCTTTCTTTTCGCTCACTACAGCCAATCTCTCAGCATGTCATTAGGCTTTATCTCCTAATTACCTCTGAAATCTGTTCCCTCCTCCATATTCCCACTGCCATAACCTAGCTGAACCTTCATCATTGTCTGTCTTCTGTAGAAACGTAAGTAGTGGAGATGGTCATGCACAGTTTAGGTTCTCCTTCCTTAAAAGCCTTGTGGCCCCAGCTCTGGGGAATGCTGCTGGTGCCTAGCCCTTAGGAAGTGCTTCAGCTGCAGAGAGCTGTCTTACTCCAGGCTCATCTACCTCAGCCCAACTCAGGAGAACTCCAAAGAGCTATTGTAGCTCCAGAGCTCCCTGTAGGGTCAGCTGAGGCTGTTGTTGGCCCTGCATCATAGAAAGACATATTCCTCTGCCCATTCCTGCTTCCACCCCCTCCCTTCCACAGGTGCTGACCCCAAGGATCCTCCTCAACAAGTAGCCTGCAAGCAGAAAGCCAACCCATGATACTCAGATAACTGCAGTGCCTCCTGACTACCTTCTCTGATTCCACTTAATCCTTCACCAGTCTCATCTCCAAATATCTACAAAAGTGATATTTCTGACTTTCTAACAGATTTACCTTAAATTTTATCAAAGCACTATAAAGTTTACAAAATGTTACTCAAGGGTTATACCTCAGAATGATATCTCCTTTCCCTATCCATCACCATCACCTTCTGGCATTTACTTTTAAATTCTAAATAACCTGAATATGCTTCTATTTGTTGATGATTTTGACTTTTAGATGTTTACTGACTTGCTACCAAAGAGGTTGAGGGTTTAGATCTTTTACACATATGCATACTTTTTCTCTCTTCATTCTCCCAATATTGTTATATCACAATTTTCATTGTTTTTGTTGTTTTCACTCTGTAATATTCACAGCTGATCCATGTAATATGTGATTACATTTCTATTTCTGTACAGGTTTTTTGCTTTTCCTCCAATAGGTAATTGCCATGTTTTCTGATGTGCTTAGTTTTTACATACTCCTCACTAATGTCTTTCCAAACCCTTTACCAGAATATCTCTTTTTGATATGTATAAATGCATTTGGTAATCTCTCCATTTCATACTTTTCTTCTAGGAGATTTCCCTCTTAAAACTCTCTTTCCTCTTTTTCTAACACCATCTGAAGCTCCCTAATCCTGCTCAATTGTTCTCATCCTTATGGAATATAGGCTTCCCTGGTGGCTCAGCTAGTAAAGAGTCCTCCTGCAATGCAGAAGACCTGGGTTCAATCCCTGGGTTGGAAAGATCCCCTGGGGAAGGGAACAGCTACCCACTACAGTATTCTGGCCTCAAGAATTCTATGCGTATAGTCTATGGAGTTGCAAAGAGATAAACACGACTGAGTGACTTTCACTTTCACTTATAGAATCCATTTTATAGCAGCTTCCTGATCAAGGGTACACATGGTTTAATTTTTTAAGGCATGCATTTCTAAAAATTTTTTCTAACTTATATTAGTCAGGGTTCTTCAGAGAAATATAACCAATAGGATATATATATGTGTTTGTGTATATATATAGTGAGAGACTGGCTCACATGATTGTGGAGGTTAAGAAATCTTATGATCTGCTATCTGCAAGCTGAAGATCCAGGGAAGCCAGAGGTGTACTTCTAGTCCAACTCTGAAAGCCCAAGATCCAGGAATGCTGGTATCTGAGAGCAGGAATAGATAGCTGTCCAAACTCAAGAAAGAGAGCAAATTCATCCTTCCTTTACTTCCTTCAATGACTGAGCTGATGTCCCCTTGCACTGGTGAGGGCAATGTTCTCCACTCAGTCTACAGTCAAATCCTAATCTCTTCTGAAAACACCCTCACATATACACCCAGAAATAATGCTTTACCAGCTACCTAGGCACCCTTAGCTCAGTCAAGTTGTCACGAAAATTAACCACCACATATTCTCATACTAGAGGTAGTTTGGCTAGGTATAGAATTATTGTTTCAAAACAATTTCCCTCAGAAGTCTGAAGTCAGGGTTCAGTGGTCTTCTGACTGCTGATGAGACGACGCCACCACTGCTCTTTCATATTCTCTCCTCTCTCCCTCCCTCTTCCGTTACTCTCTGTCTCTCTCAGCTTTAGGCTATTTTTTACAGCATTTTGAAAATTAATTATGTGCCTCAGTGAGTCTTAGCTCAGAGCTGTCATAGCAAAATACCACAGACTGAGTACCTTAAACAATAGAAATATATTTTCCCACAGTTCTGAGGGATGGAGATCCCAGATCATGACTCCTGGTGAAACCTCACTTCTGGCTTTCACGTGGCTGCCGTCTCATTGTGTCTCTTCACACAGTTTTTCTTCTGAGTGCCTGAGGGTTTCCAGGATGGAAAAGGAGAGAGCGTGGGGAGAACAGGAACTCTCTGGTGAGAGGGAATAAAAATAAGTGCAAGTGTTTGGCCCATAAGTGTACTTTCCATTCCTTGAAAGTGACACTTCTAAACTGCAATCTTTGCCATATGATCCAGCAATCCCACACCTGGGAACACATCTAGAGAAAACTCTAATTCAAAAAGATACATCACCCTTATGTTTAGCACTATTCATGGTAGCAACCTAAATGTCCATCAACAGATGAATGGATAAAAAAGATGTGGTGTGGAATACTACTCAGCTATAAAAAAGAATGAAATAATGCCATTTGCAACAACATGGATAGACCTAGAGATTATCATACGAAGTGATGTCCTAAAGAGAAAGACAAATACTATACAATATCACTTATATGTGAAATCTAAAATATGATGCAGATGAATTTATTTACAAAGCAGAAACAGACTCAAAGACATAGAAAACAAAGTTATGGTTACCAAAGAGAAATGGGGGTGGGGGAGGGATAAATTAAGAATTTGGGATTGGCAGGTATAAATTACTATACATAAAAATATAAACAACATCTTATTGTACAGAACAGGAAACTATATTAGATATTCTATAATAACATAATGAAAATAATATATATATGGAATATATATGTGTATATATATATATATATATATAACTGAATCACTTTGCTGTATAAACACAACATTGTAAACCAACTATACTTCAATAAAAAACACAATTAAATAAATAAGCTGCAAGGTTTATTATGACTCTTCCCTAACTAAAACCCTTCCATTTCTCCCCATGACATGCAGAAGAGACTTTGAAACCTTTCAGTCAATACACTCATAGTGGCAGAAGAGAATTAACATGTGTACTCCCCAGTTTCTGGGACGTAGTCCAAAGAAGTCAACCACTTGTGTGCAATTTCTTTGAAATCTGAAGTTTTATTTTTTTAAATATATGCAAATTTTGCCCCTATTCCATAATAGATCTGTTTGTTTTAATATAAGAATATTATTTTAAATTATTGGCATTTAAATGGCTTTAGTTTCTTTTCCCCAATCTTTCAAGTAGAACTGATGCTTTGGAAAGACATGTTTATCTCATGTTTATCTCATGGCTTTGTGTATCCATGAGACATAGATTTCAATTTCAGAGGCCCAGCCTTTATTCGTTTTGTGTCCCCAAAACCCAGCACAGATTCAGGCTCTAAGAAGATACTTGACAAGTGTTTGATGGATGAACTGAACTGAATGGTCTTGATGGAAGACTATCATTTGGATGGGGAGTGGGGAGGAGCAGTAAGCATTGCAAAAAGACCATTTAGCCAAGCCAAGTTCTACAGAGAGGAGTGAACACAGTCTAGTGAGTATGCTCTGGATGGTACCCCAGGCTGAGAGCTTTTCCAAATGTTCTTATATCTGAGATTTTGCCTGAGATCCCAAGAGAGCTGTGTCCCTGGATGGGCCTTGTTAATGAAGTGTCTTTATTATGATGTATAACTACATAGAAACTCTCCCTGTCCCAGGCTCTCAGCTGCTCCTCACTCACCCCTCCTCACAGCTCTTGGCAAGATGAAATCTATGCTACATGGCCAAGCCAGTGCTAGAATCTATATTCTTAGAAGCAGGGATGGTCTTCCATGGAGGGGCATGGCCAGACCTTTCAACTTTAAGCATGACAGGGATAGTCCCTCAACCTAAGCAATCTCCCAGGAAGTCAGAAATCCTTCCCCTGAATCACTGTCCTCTCACTACACAAAGGGCCCTGGGAAGGGCACCGTGGGAGGAGTGCCCTGGGAAGGGTTCCCTGGGAGCGGTGCCATGGCGAGTCTGTAATGTTCTAGAATGACTGATATACAAGCAGCTTCTTATCTTCTAGGAGTAACAAGAGACCTTAGAGGCCACGGAGGGGGAGGAATTCCACCTGGAGTTAATCTGGAGGTTTTCAACTTGACAATACAGTCAAACGGCAGGTTTAAGTTGGCCCCATGATTTTATTTTTTAATTTTATATTTAATAGTATTTTTATATATAAAGTGAGTGAAAGTCGCTCAGTCGTGCTGACTTTTTTGCAACCACATGGACTATTCACTCCATGGAATTCTCCCGGCCAGAATACTGGAATGGGTAGCCTTTCTCTTCTCCAGGGGATCTTCCCAACCCAGGGATTGAACCCAGGTCTCCCACATTGCAGGCGGATTCTTTTACCAGCTGAGCCACAAGGAAAGCCCAAGAATACTGGAGTGGGTAGCCTATCGCTTTTCCAGCAGCACTTCCTGACCCAGGGATCAAACCAGGGTTTCCCGCATTGCAGGCAGATTGTTTACCAGCTGAGCTATGAGGAAGCCCATAGCTATGAGGAAGCTATGAGGGCTTCGCTGCTGACTCAGATGGTAAAGCGTCTGTCTGCAATGTGGGAGACCTGGGTTCGATCCCTGGGTCAGGAAGATCCCCTGGACAATGAAACGGCAACCCACTCCAGTACTCTTGCCTGGAAAATTCCATGGAGCCTGGTAGGCTACAGTCCATGGGATCGCAAAGAGTCAGACACGACTGGGTAACTTCACTCACTCACTCAGTATTGAGTCATACATGCACATGGTAAAAAATCAAATAAAATGAAAAATAGCAACAATGGAAAGTTAACACTCCCATGTTTGGATCTCCCAGATCCCTCCTTTTTCACCAGAAGCAGTCAGTAATACAAGTTTCTTGGAAATCCTTCCAGAGATAGTTTTTGCATAGACAGGAATATATGTATATATATATATATTCCCATAAAAGACAAAAAGAACGGTGAACACAGTTATCATCCTCTTCTTATCCTTTGTTTCCTTTCCTTTTCTTTTTTAACTTAATTATCTTGGAGACTGTTTTATATAGCCATGTAGATATGCCTCATTATTGTCAAGTTGCATGATTCCATCCCACATAAAGTGAAGTGGCTTAGTCATGTCTGACTCTTTGTGGTCCCATGGACTGTAGCCTACCAGGATCCTCCATCCATGGGATTTTCCAGGCAAGAGTACTGGAATGGGTCGCCATTTCCTTCTCCATGGAATCTTCCCAACCCAGGGATTGAACCCAGGTCTCCAACATTGCAGGCAGATTCTTTACCATCTGAACTACCAGGGAAGCCCAAGAATACTAAACTAGAGTGGGTAGCCTATCCCTTCTCCAAGGGATCTTCCCAACCCAGGAATCGAACCCAGGTCTCCTGCATTGCAGGTGGATTCTTTACCAGCTGAGTTACCAGGGAAGCCCACTTGTTCATATATCTTTAAGCATAAGTGTAAATTTATCTATAGAATAATTTCCAAGAAATGAACTGCTAGGTGAAATGGGAAGAAAATGTTTTGGATTGATATCGCCAAAAACTGTCTTTCGAGATGCTTTTCTGTTGACCCCATAACTTTGTGTGCTCACTCAGTCATGTCCAACTCTTTGAGACCCCATGGACTGTAGCCCACCAGGTTCCCCTGCTCCATGGAATACTGGAGTGGGTTGCCATTTCCTACTCCGGTGGACCTTCCTGACCCAGGGATTGAACCCGAATCTCTAACAACTCCTGAGCATCCTCCTGCCTTTTTCTCCTTTCCGTCTCTTACTTTTTGCCTCTTCCTTTCATTAAAGCCCCTAAATGGTAAAGAAGTATGAGAGAGATTAGATTAACCAGCTGGGGGAAAACATTCCAAGTCTCCTGTCTAGAATGTCTGGAATTAAAGCTCTTGGTGGAGAAGGAAATCATATCTTTAATGAAAATATTTAGAAGTAATAACAGAGAACATATAAACTCATTACAACCCCACCAGGTAGGTACTATATGACTCCTATTTCACAGATTAGGAACTTAAAGCCCAGAGGTCATCTAACTAATAAATGTGGGAGCCTTGTGAGAGCCAAGACTGTCTGGTTCCAGAGTGAGGTATATAGGGGAGGAAAAATACCTTTCTGTCCTCTGCCTACCTTAGGACCATGGCTGGGTCTCTGTAACAGATAAACAAGAAAAAACATATAAATTTATTTCATATAAATATTACATGGCATGAGAAACTTCCTAAGGAAATAAAGACCCAAAGAAGTTGTTAAGCCTGAATGTTTTCATGCTAGGTTTGGTGAAGAGACGAAAGTCATGGGGAAAATGTGATAGAACAAACGGTATGAGCTGAGGGTAGGAAACTGGGGGGAACTTAGCAGGGCCTGTTCATTCGGGTTCTTCTCAGTACCCCTCTGTCTTTGGAAATAAGGATGCTCCTTGTCCTCCTTATAGAGAGACGGCACCTCTCACAGGAAGGCCTATGACCTGCTTCAGGGCAGGTCAAAGATTTCTTCCTGTCCCTGTGGTCTCTCAAATTCCTACAGCCTGAAATGTTCACTGTGCCAAGGGGCCTTATTGGGGGTGGCCTGTCCTGAGCCCCCACAGGCTCTTACCCACTGTACCAGCTCCTAAAGTAGCAATGTAGCATCTCTCTCCCCCGCTCCTAGACTCTGACTTGTCACATGCCAAGAACATTTCAAAATAATTTGGGGGAGGGTAGATCAACACAGGATTGCCAACTTTACATTTTGCCAAATAAGCACATTAAAAATAAATCCTATTATCACCATGATTTCATTTTTAAATGACTTGTTAACACCACAAAATGGGAAGAACATAATCACAGGATAAGAGCAGAAATCTCAACCAAAGAAAACTAGACTTAAGAAAAATGCTACATCCCCCTTGTTGTCTCCATTTTTGCTGAAGACCAGTGCAAGCTTCCAGTGACCTCAGTGACCCCTCTCCAGCACTTGGAGCCAGGGCTCAGTTCACTGGAATGCCTATGTCTTGGGAAGCAGAGTTAAGCGTCCTGGTTCACTTGCTGTGGAACCTTGATGGGGGACACACACCCTCAGCTTCAAGCCTGGGAACATTCCAGGAAGAGAAGACTATGCTGGTCCATTTTGAGGCTCCCTCCATCCTAATCAGACTTTCCATGCTCCCTTGAAGCCCAAATACTCCTGGACCAAGAAAATCAGCATGAGGGGAGGTG